TATCAGGAACATTAAATTTATTTACTCCATACTATAAAACTTACTTTTCTTCATATAATAAACTTTCAAAGATGCTCCTCAACTTAAAATGGGGTTACATCCCAATAAATCCATTGTAAGTTTAAAATATCACAAGTAGAAAATGTATTTAATATACCTAACCAACCTAACATCGTAGCTTAGCCTAGCCCACCTTAAATGTGCTCAGATGCTTACATTAGCCTACAGTTGGGCAAAATCATCTAAAACAAACCTTATTTAAAAATAAAGTGTTGAATATCTTATGCAATTTATTGATTATTTCACTGAAAGCATAATACAAAATGGTTGAATGGGTACTCAAAGTAGGATTTCTATGGAATATGTATTGTTTTTGCACCATTATAAAGTAAAAAAGTTATAAGTTGAACCATTGCAAGTCAGGGACTGTCTGTACAGTAACAACGTAAGTATTACCACCACACAGTTAAAACATTTCTTATTATGCATGCAGTCTAACATTTTCATTTTAAAAAGGAGCCTTTTAAAAACTGCAACTAAAAAGTACTATAAATACCTTAAACATTAAAATGAACCTTCGAAGAGAAATTCAAAGACCTATTTTATATTGCCCTTAATCTAAAGTGAAGAGATATATTTGAGAGTATAACACAAATCTACTTTCAAATTAAGAAAAAACTAATTGTTTTATTAAAAATTGAATTTTAATACAAATTATCAGTTATGGGTCTGCATGATATTGAATGAGTTGCTTATCATCTTTACTCCTTAGTAAAATAAAAGCACGTACTAAAATCCTTTCTAGTATATTCTACAAATGAAAATATATAGATTGCCCTTTATTATTAATAGTTATTTTCCTTTTCCCCATCTAGCAACAAAACAAGAACAAAACTTTTTCAACCTGTTTATGAATACATTTTTCCCCTACCTTGGTAATAGTTTCATGAAGGTTGAAAAAAGGATCCATTTCTTCAATTTTTGTTGCATGTCTAGGAAAAAGGGCCTCGGAGAGAAAACTTGGAGCCTGTGGTGAATCAAAAAAGAAACATTTAAAACTCCTTATTGATTTTGTTTTTCAAGTGCTTATTGAATTTTCTTTGAAGAGTCAAAAGGACTCTAAAGTGCTTTAAGGGTTCTGTTGATTGTTGGACTTCATTCTACTGATCTAATTACCCATCACAGAATATTTATCAATTAAAATGAGTAGAATTCTATAACACATTTGACATTGTATGTATTTACAAAAGAACGTTTTCTTACCAAAAGAGACAATTCTTGACATTTCCCCCACCTTTTTTCCTAAATTCAGACTTAAATGTAGACACCTTGACTACAAAACTTACACCTGAAATCCTTTCTCTATTTTAAATATTGTGCTATTACAGCTAGTAGAACAGAATGTTATTGATAAACATGATTACCTAGAAAACCCTAGACAAAATGCTTATGATATTTTAAATATTGACAAAGTAACTTCAAAACAATAGTAAGATATATTATGGATAGAACTGCCACATGGTTTTATATGCTACCAACAAAGTGGTAACACATTGTATCAATACTTGTGTTAATATGGTTGAAATGAATCAAAGATACTTTAATTAATTCATTTTGTACTTGCAAGTGTAGCCAAGTTTCAGAATGCAAGAAGACATGGGATGCTGATAATGTTATTATCTAAAACAATACTCTTGGAATTATCAACATTATTGACATCATAGGAAATGATTATTGTTTACAGTATAAATATAGCTTGTATGTGAAAACCTGAAGGAGCTAGGTTATTTGTGTAGAAAACAGAAGACTTAGAACAGGACATATATTAGTATGTGTGTGGCTAGACAGACTTATAGAAAGATAGGTAATCTTTTTGAAGACTCTCATGGGGAAGAGAGATGTAACTGAATCTTCACCAACAGTGATTGCAACAGGGTAAAAAATTTAATCTAAATTGATTTCAACCGGTTTATTAGAGTTATCTAAAAGCGTAACAGACTACTTTGGGATGTATCAATGATGGAAAAGAAAGTTCTTTTTTTTTTCTTCTTTGTTTTGTCAGAAAAGAAAGTTAAAACGATGCAGTTGAAAAGCTTTGAAGTTATAAAGATGAGGACTGAAACCAACGTAATTCCAATTTTCTTTATAGTAAAAAGTTCTGTGACAAGGTATACTCTTCACTCCCTATTTTGAACAATTCTGAGACCAAGCAAAAGTAATCCAGCTGCTTGATTCAACATATACCGAAATTTTGAATAAGACCATGAATCAACCAAAGGGCATACATATCTAGACTAACAATTTGTTCATCAAAACACGTTTTATGTACGTCTCCTCATTTTACCAACCAATGTAAAACTAATTAGTCAGAAACTCTGCTCAGGCCCAACCAGTACTCCACTCTGTAAGACTTGCTATAAAATGTACACAACGTAGGCTTAAAATCTCATAAATACTCTTTCCTAATTTCTTTATTTCGAGGCTTGCTAAGACTCAGTGTTATAGGTTGAATTGTCTCCCTCAAAAATTAGTTAGGTTATTGTTATACATAGGAATCCACGTTAGGTATTGGGGGTTAGTACTTGAAAAATAAGTTGAAAATTTCAAAGATACTTTTGAAAATATGTTGAAATCCTAACCCTTGGTACTTCAGAATGTGACCTGATTTGGAAATAGGCCGTAAACAGACATAACTAGTTAAATTACAATGAGGTCATACTGCAGTAGCATGGGTCCCTAATCCAATATAACTGGTGTCCTTATAAAAAGGGGAGATAAACATATACATAGGGAGTATGCCATGTGAACATGAAGTCAGAGAGTAAAGTAATATGTCTCCAAGCCAAGGGACACCAAAGATTGTGAGAAAACCACCAGAATCTAGGCAAGAGGCATGGAACAGATTCTCTCTCAAAGCCCTTAGAAGGAACCAACCCTGAGAACACCTGGAAAGATGAGATAAATTTCTGTTGAAGTTACCCAGATTGTGGTACTTTGTTATAGAGGTTCTATCAAACTAATACATTCTGTCAAGGTGGTATTCTCCCTTATTACAATAGGCCCAATAAACTTAATTTTGCATATCAAGTAAAAATATCAGGTTTTTATGGAGGTGTTTTGTGTAGTCAACATAGACATAGGTAAAAATTTTGGTTTTACCATTTAATAATCTGAAATATCTTATTCTTCAAAAGATTAGTTACTTTATCTAGGAAACTTGGACAATATATTCTTCACAGAGATGTAGTTAACTGTCCAATGTCTGACACATAGGAGACACTATGTAAATGGCATTATCGATGTGGCTAAAAAAAAAAAAAATACCATAAATGATGATATGGCAATGGTAGTGATGATGGTAACGTAAGTAATTTAGGCTTGTCAAGAATATTATACAGAGGGTTTCTGATTG